TTTCATACTTTTCTGGACCTTGACAGTGTAATTTACTTGGCAGTCAATGGGACAGTCACAAGCCTCCCGGTTTTCATCCAAAATATCTTATATTGTGTTCCGAAGACGAACAAAGCTTTTAGGGGTTTGGAACGACATGGAGGTAAGTGATTGACAAAATTTTGAAAAAATGAAATGTTCTTCTAATTTTATTCTCTGATATCCTCATCTCTTGCAGAGGAATCGAATGGGTTAGTCTGACTAGTTTTCTGTCCTTCGCTACCTCTGTTCCCAACAACCTTGGACTTGTGAGGAATGAACTGCAACATGTGGACTTACGCACAGGTAAAGCACACACACAGACACATTACATACTGGTATTTTTATGTTGATTGAAAAAATGACTTTGTTCATTTTCAGTAGTATTTCATTATTCAAACATCGCTGCTGCAATTGTTAATACTCAAGTTTAGCAAACCCATTCACACCCAGAATGCTTACAACAACAATAACTATATTTCTGTCATGACAACTTCAGCAATTACTCTTTACTTAGAAGACATGTTAGGGTTCTTTGGAGATGTAATGTTCCAACAAGCCTGCTTGATCAATTACCAAAGAAGAATGGCAAAATTATTCAGCAAAATAAGATTTTCTTATCAAAGTGATATAATTTTGTGTTGCAAAAATGAGTACACCCTTCCCTGCATTATTGGGCATTTTTTCAGCATGACAATGAAGATATTTATTCTCCCAAGGTGAAAATCCTTCAGTGGACATGTATTTCACTCAGTCTTAACACTCTTGAGCTGCTGTAGGGGATTCTGTAGAAACGAGCTGAGCAACACTCCCTATTAAAGACCAGAGCATTTAAGGAGCTCGTCCTCCAGGAGTTAAACAGCACAGATGTGAAAATTTGTCATGAACTTGTACACTCAGTGCCAAGAAGGGTCAGAGCAGTATACTTTAAGTTCTGGAGGACATACTAAGTACTAGAATATTATACATTTTCTGAATTAAATCTAGGGTGTACTCATTTCTGCAATCCTTCATTTAAACAAAATTGGCTAATTTACTTATCTTACAGAAAATATTGGCATATATTTTGTTGTTTTTATTAAGTATAAATTTTGCCATCGTTCCATGAATTATATTAGTGATCATTAAGAAAATACATATTTTATATTTATTCAGAGGGGGTGTACTCATTTATGCTGTGCACTGTATTTGGTCTTGGCGGAATAGATCTACAACATTGCTGCTGCTGCCAATACATCTACAGAAATGCTGCTCTTTTCTTTGCGCACAAAAAGTATTCTCGTAGCTTCGTAAAATTACTGTTGAGCCCCTGATGTCACATGGACTGTTTTACCGTGAAAGTGTCTCAGAGCCGGCAAAAGCTGTGAAAAGAGTGAAACTTTATCTCACAGAGTATGACGCAGCCTGCAGAAGTGACATGTATGGTTGTTGTCACCACTAGAATTACCTACTGTAGCCAAAGCAAAAGATGTCCTTGCTACGTTTCTGTGCCTTGATTGTGGTAATTTGTGTTCCGAAGATGAACTAAGGTCTTACAGGTTTAGAACGACATGAGGGTTAGTAATTAATGAAAGAATTTTCATTGTTGGGTGAACTATCCTTTTAAGGATTCATCTATATTTAATTTAGAATTTAGTATTTGGTAACTTTATTCTATGTCTGTATATTTCCTACTTGCTGAAGGGCACAGGTAAATATAACAATTATTATAATGAGTGTATCTTCACATTGGGAAGATTGTTTTAAATTCACTTAAATTAGAAGTTGTTATTAGTCTTAGTAGTCTAATAAATTTTAAAATTGATAGCTCTCAATTATACTGTAATGTTGAATGACTATAGTCAATGGGTAAATATTACAAAAAAATGTTACAATGATAATGAACGTTAATGAGACAATGACCTTCAGTCATAAAAAAAAAAGATTCCATTAAACAAATATTAAAATATACTGTATTTTTGTTGTTTCTACATTAATTAGAAAATTAAATGTGAAATTATTGCAACATAAAAATACATTTAAAAACGTTAATGTTATGTGGGATTTATTGCAATTAATTTCAGAAAAAATGTGTGATTTATATAAATAAATATATATATATATATATATATATATATACATGCATATGACGCGTCTTACTGTCATTTATTTATCCTGTAAAAGCATCTGACATTTATATTCAGACAATTACATGCTGCTGTCCCTTCACAGATCCTACTCTCATAAATTACTCGCACTACATGTTGACTTTTAAACCTAAATGTAAGCTGTTCAACAACAGATATTTCAGCACAGTGAATGTTTTTGCGCTGAATATTGTCTCCCTCTCTACTGTGTTTCGTCTGTTTAACGCGCGTGCCCGCTGCACCGGCGCTCTTTCAGTAAAGATTTAAACTTAACGCAGACTGTCAGGGCGGACCTTTCTGCAAAAATGGAAAGGCTCACGTGAATTTGTGACATTTACAGATAAGGATATAGTTTTTTGCCCTGAGGACGCACACACATACATATCTGTCAAAGTGCCTGACAGGGCAAGCCATTACGCTAATGCCTCAGCTTGAAGCTTAAAATAAAGATTTCTCATGTTTTGGGCAGCTTGAATCACGCACTTTTCCTGCAGGAGCTTATTCTTTAAGCTGCAGGAGCTTATTCTTTAATTATTGGAGCTTTCCTCCACTATTTTTAGATGCATTTTGTCCATAGAAATGCGTTATTCAGTGCTGTAATTTGATGCGACTGGCTGAAGTTGTACGTGCACTGTGGTCAGACTCGACTAATCGATAATGAGAATCGTTGTCGATGATTTTCATTATCGGTAATAATCGATTTTATCGATTAGTTGTTGCAGCCCTATATATATTACATACATTATCTCACAATATGTATATATGAGCTGTTGACTCGCAAAGAAAGGGTTTGAGTCCAGCCTGGGTAATGTCCCCATTTCCCCAACTCTCTCAATGGCATTCCTGTCACTCTATATTGTTCTATAAGGAGAGAGAGAGAAACAATAAAATTGCAAAATGCGTTTTAAAAAATTAATAAATTCTGCAATTTGACCATTGTTTACCTCTCCAAGACGCTGTGTTGATGAAAATGTGCATGTGTGAGTTGTAGGCATGTGACTGTATTAAACTTTCATATGACCATTATCGCTTAAAGGGGTCCTATTATGCTTTTTCACTTTTTTAATTTTAGTCAGTGTGTAGTGTGTATGTTTGGGCATAAATAGGGAGGTCTCCAAAGGGAGATATTTCGTTTTTTTTTAAATCCCTTTTCAAGAACTACAACGAACGGCTCGTTTGGACTACAGGAGTACAGTGCCGGATTCGCCAAAAAGCTTTTGTTGAAAGACGGAGCGAGGGGCGTGGCAGTACTGAAACACCGTCTTAAGCCAGGGCTGTCCAAACTCGGTCCTGGAGGGCCGTGTCCTGCAGAGTTTAGCTCCAACCCTAATCAAACACACCTGTACCAGCTAATCAAGGTCTTACGAGGTATACTTGAATCTTCCAGGCAGGTGTATTGAGGCAAGTTGGAGGACACCGGCCCTCCAGGACCGAGCTTGGACAGCCCTGGTCTAAGCTGTTCGCCAATCACAACACACTGGGACAGCGAACCAAACACAACGCATTTTGTTTTTCGGAAGGCGGACCTTCATCAAAGCCGGAACTAATCGAGCCGTTTGTGCCAGGCTGGGGAGAAAGGTATTTTAATAATGTAAATTATGTGAAAAATAATGCATTTTTCGAACCACCAAGCATGAGAGCATGTTCTAGTACACCCCCAAAACAAAATCAAGACTTTGTAAAAGAGCATAATAGGACCCCTTTAAACATTTATCACAGTATTGAATTAGGTTAGGTTAAGTGTTGAACTCTTAATATCTGTTAATTGTTTTCATATAACAAAAGAAACATTTGAACATTAAAATGCAATAAAACAATACACACAATGCTTCTAACAAATTAAAGTGCAAATGCAGAAGCAGTTGCTATAGTTATAAAATCAATAAAAGGCTCATAACGGGCCACTGACTTTTAAAAAAAGTTAAATGACTATACACAACTGTACAGCTGTAATGTAATATCTGAGTTGTGGAGATTATTAAAGGCTTCTGGTGCATAACACAAATTGTCCTAAACTTCGAGCATTTTGTTTTCTATAAGTGTACGCAGAGTGGCGGCGCCCAGCTATGACACTGGAGGCTGCCAGACATAGCCCTCCTTTACAGTATACGGTGCGTTTTGATACTCGAGATGGCAAGAGTTGTGATAGAGTTGTTTATGTTAGAGCCTGAGGCAGATGCCAAGGCATGGTAACTGCTTTTGCTTGCTTGATAGCTTAATTTTTGGTATATAGTTTTAAAAGTACTATTATTACTTATCTTATTACATAAGATGCTGCATGTACTGATTATGTATGTACTGATTTTATTATGTTAGATCATGCCTCCATGCCAGAAATTTCAGATCCAACGCCAGATCCTGGCAGAAACTATCCATTTTGCATGGTAAAAGAACGAGTAGTCAGCAAAGTTGTCTAATACCCAAAACCCGTTAGCAGCAAGTCTTGTCTGGAACCCAAAAACAGTGTTTTGTCTGGTACCCAGAACTGTATTAACAGTCTTCTATCAGCCAAGAAGGTGACTGAGCAAAGCCAGTGAAGAGCAGAAGCAGGAGACGAAGTGATGATGATTAAAAAAGGATAAAAAATGTGTCTGACCAGCACAAATCCAACAAGTGTTATTATACCACAAGCAATAGCAATGGAAAATTACTGGTTCACAATATCATCCCATAAACCTTGAATTTCCATAAACATTCCCTCTTATTGCTTATTCATGACGACAAACATCCCTTGAAACCACACAATCATAAAACTATACAACAATGGGAAAATAATATTAAAACAATAATAATAATATAATATAAATGAATTATATAAATATAATAAATAATATAAATGACTAATCAATAAGTCAATGAGTATATAAATAGTTTAAAATGATTTAGTATAAATGATTATATAATTTAATAGAATAATAAAATGATTAAATGATGAATGAAGGAAGAATAAATAAATATAAAAGAAAGAAAGTAAAACACCACAAGTGTATGGTTGCTCTCTTGAAGCAAAACACACACAGGTTGCTATTAAGAATCCTTAGATATTTTAATTGGCAACACTTAATGCTATGATTGGTGTCTTAATAACATTAAACACAGGTTTGACGTATTTTGCACACTGTAAGATTATAAATTAATATGCTTACTTGCATTGATGTCACAGTTCTCCTTATATCAAAGCCAGTCATTTCAGAAGGGTAGAAAAGAAAAAGTCATTTTTTTAAACAGGGCAGTCTGTTTCGAGTTCTGTAACTTGCAAGATGTTTTTATTGTAGAGTTTTACTCTTATATGTGGAGTTATTTCATGACCCATTTAAATTACATTTTATTTGTCCCAAATTGTTGTTGTACTCACTGACTCCACCCTAGGCTGAAGGATATATTGTGTTTGGACATTTTTTCAGGAACAAGTTTATTTTTTTGTTTGACAAATTGCATAGCCTAATATACATCACCTGTTCTAATATTTCCATTTGCACCATTTTTCGTACACCTTCAAACACATTAATGCCACTATGTCCATTCTTAAAGTTAATTTTTGCCTGCGTGGTGGTGATTAGATTCACTGATTTTGACCGCCACCTTGAACTTGAACACAAAATTACAGAATGACGTGTCTGGTGTTTCAGACAACCCACCCAGCAAAAACTAATTTCAGGGAGGTTACATTCTTAACTTCAGGGTTTTGTTGCAACCTGGCCCAGATCTATAAAGATTAATAATGATTTTTAGATATCTAGCATGTTTAGTACAAATTAAAATGTAAAAAATACTAGGTAGTGAGTTGAGGTAATTTTGATTCACTCTGTTTCATATTTAGAGAATTGTGCTTGTTTTTGACAGCTTGCTTGTCACAGTCTTGTAGATTTTTTTTCTGGGTCATCTGTGTGCATGTGTGGATGACATACAGCATGCAAATCCTAGCATCGCCACTTCATCAGTGTTGTTTTGTTGCTGTTGTTATTGTTGTTAACTTTCTGCAGCTGCCTGCACTCCCTGTCTTCATTAGAACAGGACCATCATTAGACCAATCTTTTCATACACACTTTATCTCCGAGAACTTCACTCTCTTACATACAGATACACAATCATACACACACAAGCTATACATTTGACTATCTGGACAAATCGGGCCTCCACAAACTCTCAAATCACGAAGTCTATATTACATTTACATTTAATAATTTAGCAGATTTGTTTTATTCAACATCAAGAAGATCAGGCCCTTTCTTTCGGAACCTGCTTCACAACTCCTTGTTCAAGATCTTGTTCTGTCCAGGCTGGACTATTGCAATACTCTCTTGGCAGGTCTTCCAGCCAGTTCTATGAAACCTTTACAATTAATCCAGAACGCGGCAGCAAGATAATTTTTTAATGAGCCAAAAAGAATGCACGTCACACCTCTGCTTATCAATTTGCACTGGCTACCAGTAGCCGCTTGCATAAAATTCAAGGCATTGATGTTTGCCTACAAAACCACCACTGGCTCTGCACCCCTTTACCTAAATTCATTACTTCAGACTTATGTGCCCTCTAGAAGCTTGCGTTCTGCAAGTGAACGTCGCTTTATTGTGCCATCCCAAAGAGGCACAAAATCACTCTCACAGACTTTTAAATTAAATTAACTTAATCATTATTTGTTGTTTTTCATGCAAATAAAAGAAAGAGTGTGAAGTTGACCATTCAGTCGATGGCTTTTTTTTTTTAGCAAAATGCAAAAGCAGAAACAAATGATTTTGTGACTGAACAGGTACATGAGTCCTTACCAAACAACCATTTATCAGATCAGACTTTAGAATTAACATGGTTACTTACATGTTGACATTATGGGTTGCATCCATCTTTCACTAAAAGTGTGTTTGCAAAGCTTGTGTCCAACTGTTAAAAATAATTTATTCAAGTAATTACTTATCAAGTGCTTTGTTGGAAATAAACAGTGACTAATGTTAGGATCCTTCGGAAGCAGAGATGATGGTCTTTCACAAATAAGAGCTGCACATCATTTGGATAACTTAGCAGGCATCTCAATCTATTTTTATTTCAAGTAATCCTGTTGTATCTTTCATTTCTCCAATTTGTGGATGGACCAAAAAGACAACAGGCAGTTCAAAGTAGAAAACAATTCATTTTGGCAGCTTGGTTTTAATAGAAGCTGTTTTTGGACTAATAAAAAAGTTTCAGGTTCTGAAATGTACACTGTTTTTATAGTACAATTATACTATTAAAAAAAATCTGTGACATTTATGGGAAAATACTGGCAAATAAAAATGTTTCACTGTAAATTATACAAGTTGTTTTTCACTTTCAAAAACCATAATGTTAATAGTATTTTACTGTAAAATTACATTAAATGTATGGTTAGACCTATTAAAGTTGTTCAATGTGGAAACTTACTGTTAACCAATTAACAGGTTTTTACGGTACTATTTTTACAGTCTTTTACTGTTAAAGTCACAATAATTTTTTACAGTGTATCCCTTATGTGAAAGATCAAGGAAGATTTGATGGTGTTGAGTGATTCCGTGCCTTACAACATTCAGTTCAATTGACATTCGCATTGAAAAATACATCGCGGAGCAAAGACAACACTGACAACGCGACGACAGACCAGATAGAACAGGTTACTTTTGATATGAAACAAAGTGTCAGCTTTCAAATTTTGTCATTTTGTAAGAAATTCAAACAACATTTTGTGGCTCTGTGATATGTCGTGACAGATCCCTGTAGCGCCTCAGTTCAAGCGGCACATGAACCGATCATCTCTTCCTCTTTACTAGTTATAGCATGATATAAACATGGATGAACATCAGAAGGTATCTTGTTTCAACCACGGAAAGACGTCAATACAACGTTTTTCAAGTTCAAGTCCACCTATGTTAATCTACTCTCCTGTCAGGTTTGTTGTCAGACAAAAATAGAGTTATGATTGGTCAGGTCGCCTGCCAATCAAGTTTAGACAATTAACGTTCAGACTGTCGGTTGGTCAGACTAGTGTGTTACAATAGCTATAAGGTGAAATAATAGTCCAGTGTGAGACTGAAAAAGTGCAGTGCTGATGAAGAGTTGATTGTGGAGATTTGAGTTCACATGTTGTGATGCAGCAATCTAACAATAATTTCTGTGAGTATACAAACATGTTACAGGCCCTTTAAGCCACCACAGTCTTTGCTACTTATTTAAATACAGTAGGCAGTCAACCAAAATGCCTATGATTACTGTAAATGGGAAAATTATAAGTAATACAGGCTTAGTTTTCTAACACGTATTTACTTTGCCACTACAGTGTCCACATTAATGTCACAAATAAAAGGATTGAAATGTATATTTAATAATTCGCTGATGCATTTCAACAGGTCATGCACATACTTATTCATTATTCATCATTTTTGACACAGAGCCCTCCAAGACATGCATAAATATATAATGTCCATGAATTAAGAAACTGTTAATCGCTTTATATTAAATCGTTCCTTCATATTAGTTAAAATGTGAGCGCACTGTAATTATTTGTTCCTATGATTATTAAAATGATTTAATAAAAAAAAAAAAGAAACCAGGTTGGTCAGGGCGAGTTTGTTGTTGCATGTGAAAAAAAAAAAAATTTTGTTAGCCATGGGTCACTGCGCCTCCAAGCTGGGCATTTTCAGAGGCACACCTAGCATTTTCAACTGGTTCAAAATGCTTTGGTGGACACAAGGCCTAAATCCATATCAAACTAATCATTTTAAGCAGGCCTATAATTTGTATGTTTTGTTATATATTTGAGAGTACTTTTGTTTGTTTGTTTGATTATTCATTCATTCATTTATTCATTCATTAATGTATTCATTGTGCTGAACATATTACACATAATTCATATTTTGTGCTTTCTCTCAGGGCGGTGCTTTGCATTTCGAGGTGAACGTGGGAACGATGAACCAGCCATTGAAATGATTAAAGTGTCACATCTGAAGTGAGTAACATATGTTTTCCAGTTGTAAACACCTCGGTGAGCACTTAAACATTTTAGTCCCTTTGGTTTCCCTAAACAGTGATTAACGTTTAGTGGTGACAAATACAGACACACACACAGATTACTTTCATGCAGGGCTGGCCCTGGCCAATTTGCTGCCCTAGGCAAGATTGTACCTGGTGCACCTTGCCTCACAGCCCATTCCACCAATAATCATTGTGTTCAAACACAGAAACTGCATATCTAGATATTTCAAAAGTGCATCTGAAGAGAGAAATGGAGAAGTATATGTGACTATTGGGTGTTACATTTTCTTATTAAAAAGCTGATGATAGTAAAACGGTAACACTTACAATAAGGTATCATTTGTTAACATTAGTGAATGTATTAACTAACTTGAACTAACAATGAACAATACATTTGTAACAGTATTTCATATTTTTGTTAATGTTAGTTATGGAAAATTAACCTTATTTTAAATAGTTTCCAGTGAAACTATAAAAATATAGGTGCTGCTAAGTCACATTATAAATTAAACACAAACAGTATTATAATTACATCTGGTATTCCTGCACAAAACTAATATAATTTTGTTTGAACACTTCTCTAGCATACAGTAACATTACTGTTTAATCCTAAAAATAAATTTGAAGTGTTTAATTTCTAGTAGGCAACAATGTTCTACTAAACTATAGCCCTTTCTAACGTCACCACGAATTAAACTGAGAAACATACATCTTCAAGTGAATTTTACATAAAAAATTTTATATTTTTAATAAGCCCAGTTATATACAAACCAGTGTTAATTTTGACAGCAAATTTTGATTTAGTTTTAGTCATAGTCTTTTAGTCAAAACAATCAGGAAAAAAGGCATTACATGCAAATTTTTAAGTTATAAAATGTAAATATATATAGTCGCCAGTGGCGACATCAGCAAAAACTTAAATCGCAAATTAATATTTTTGGTCGCAAATGCGACCGTTTTAGTCGCAGTCTGGAGCCCTGATATGTCTGCTCTTCTCTTACTCCCACATATTGACATTTTTGAACGTTTTATGCGACATGCAGCAAGTGTATTTTAGCTTATGACCGCCGGTTCATATGTACGCATCTAACCTCCGAACCACGCAGCAGATTCGTTCTGAAATTTAATTAATCTCTTCCCAAATCGTCCCTCCCTAACATTTTCGTCTCGTTTTTATTCGTTGACGAAAATGTCAATATATTTTAGTCATAGTTTTTGTCATTCAAAAAGAGTTTTAGTTCGTTATTGTCTCGTTGTCGTCAGTGAAAAAAATGTCGTTGATGAACATCATGACGAAAATTATTCGTCAACTAAATTAACACTGATACAAACATTACTAAATTAGCCGATTCAAATAAAAAATACCATAAATACCCAAATACTACACAACTATAGCGTAAAATATTATCAAAAGTTATTATCATGTGACACGAAAAATCTCGGATCTCTGGAACTCCAGACATTGTTATTACCCTTTTTTAAACTTTTAGACTAGGCTTTCTAGACTAGACCAACACAAAGTTTGTTCACAAACTTCTACCTCATCTAGTTTATTTATATGATCATCATTCATTACATCAGATTACCTCTGTCTTTGTCCCCTTTGTTCAGTGAGGGAGGGGGGGGGGTTTGATTGAATTATTCATTATTGAGCGAGAAAGTGTGTGTGTGTAAGTACCTGGTATTCCCTACATTATCCCCACAAGTGTAATAATACCAGTAAATTTTGACCTTGTGGGAACATTTTTTGGTCCCCATGAGGAAAACGTATAAATCATATAGAATGAAGTGTTTTGAAAATCTAAAATAGCAGAAAGTTTTGTGTGAGGTATAGGTTTAGGGGCAGGGGTAGGCAAGTTTGGCCCTAGAGACTCCTGCAGAGTTCAGCTCCCACCCTGGAAAAAAAACACCTTCCTATAGCCTTAAGCCGCGGTCACATTAGACTTTTCGTTCCATTGACTTCCATTCATACGCATGCGAATGCGTCAGACCGGAAACGCAAGCCCGTGCGATAAAGTTTTGCATTTTGCTGTGTTCCAAAATTCAAGCTTGGTGAACTCTGGCCTGAGAATTCACATCACGTGACACTGTGTGACCAACGGCAGATCGATACGTCACAGCATGACCTTCTATCTGAATTAAAAGAACATAAATTTAAAACTGCAGCGCTGCAGGAAAGTGGAGTAGATTGTATGTTCTTACATTGTAGATGTATTATAATTTGTTACATGTTGAATTTTGGTTTTTAAAAAGACGCTGCACAGCGTGACGTCATATAACGATCGTTGCAGCATGCGAAACAATTTTGCATGCTCAGAGTCTAGTGTGACCGTGGCTTTAGTAATCCTGAAGACATTGATTAGCTTGTTCAGGTGTGTTTGATTAGGGTTGGAGCTTGCGGCTCTCTAGGACTGAACTTGCCTACCCCTGGGTTAGGGGATAGAAAATATCATTAACCTGATAGAAAATCAATGGAAGTCTATGCAATGTCCTCACTAATATAGTTAAGTGTGTGTGTGTGTGTGTGTGGGTGTGCGCGTTTTTGTGACAAATGAGGACATAAATTTGTATAATGACAAGGGTATGACATAGGTATTACAAGGAGAAGGTGACTTTTCAGGACATTACCCCATGTCCCCACTTTTCACAAAAACAAACCTGTGTGTGTGTGTGTGGGGGTGCGCGTTTTTGTGACAAATGAGGACATAAATTTGTATAATGACAAGGGTATGACATAGGTATTACAAGGAGAAGGTGACTTTTCAGGACATTACCCCATGTCCCCACTTTTCACAAAAACAAACCTGTGTGTGTGTGTGTGTGTGTGTGTGAATTACCTTTGTCTGTACAGTGTCTCTCTACTAATTGGGAAGCTGTGAGTTTACTGTAAATACTTTAATAACAGCAATGTTACTCCCTCGTTGGTATAATGCAGCAATCCAGTAACCAAGCTATTTTTTTTAAATAAAAGTGTTGCATTCACCATATTTTTCTGTGCTCCTGGATATTTCTGTGATCTCTATGTGCAAGTGATGTGTGTATGTGTGTTTCAATGAAGGCTGTGTATTAATGTAAAATGGTGATTAAATTGACTGGAACTACCTGTGCACTACATGGTTTTAATGCACACTTTCCTCTTTAATACCTAGTATTCAGTCAGACCATGGCATAAGGGTACCAATTCATTCAGTATTCATTACTTTTAATGTAGGTTACTTTTAACATGGGAAACACTTTTTGATCTAAATATAAAATTCAGGTATAGTCCTGAGAACAAAATAATTGTATGTGTACATTGGTCTTCTTTAGGCAGTACCTGGTGGTGGTGTTTAGAGATAAACCTTTGGAACTCTGGGATGTCCGCACAGGAACCCTGCTGCGTGAGATGGCCAAGAACTTCCCTACTGTCACTGCCCTGGTACTGTATCAAACTCACAATGTGCCATGTTTCTTATAGTGATTGTTCTTAAAACATTTCATTGTTTTAAACTATGGGTGAAATATGTTCTGGTGACTTGAAATTACAGCATTTGGGATGCTTTTAAAAGCACAGTAAAATCTATTAGCACATAAGAAAATTGGAAGTCCCTATGTGCAAGTGAGGTGTTGTGCGTGTTCTTTAATGAAGGCTGTGCATTGCTATAAAACAGTGATTAAATTGACTGGAACTGGCATGGCCACGGTGAGTGGAGACTGTGAGGATTCTACCTGCCTCCTTCCTCACTCACTGTTTAAAATTGCATTAATTTCATAACATTGTGCATTTTTTGTGTAAACACATTTGTCACCTTTGAGCAGAATTAAATAGTCTTTGTGTTGAAGTGTAAATAAACATGTAAGATATCGTTTTTGTGCCACTTTGCAACTGGAAATAGCTGTGAATTATTTATTTTTTTTTTGAGAAAAGGGGAAAAAAACTTTAGCACCATTCAACTCAATATGCTCCTCTGAAAATGTAAAAATGTGCAGTTTATTGAATAATCTTAGTTCCCTTATCTGTCAATCACTTTGATGTTGTGTCAATGTACTGGCACTAGGGGTCACACTTGGGAGCCCCAAACACCTCTGATACTTTGAGAAAAGGCCAGTGAGAGTTAGTGAGTGGAATTTGCATGCACCACTCACCCATGCATAAAGGCTGATTTATACTTCTGCGTCTGACTAGGGGTGGGCGATATGGCAAAAATATTATATTTCACACTTTTTTTTTTTAACTATCACGATTCCCAATTTTATCACGATTCTTTGTCATGTTGGTTTTACTATTTTGCAAGTTGTCTGAGCATTACAGCCAAACTAATTTCCCAATTATAAAGACAAAGCCTTTTAAGGTAACAAAATATAAAAAAGAATGGCGCATATTTAGACTAAAGTGGGCAAAGATAAAAATTGTTTTTAAAAAAGTTGTTTTAAACCTGAATGAGTTTCTTTCTTCTGCTGAACATAAATGCTGTTTTGAAGAACGTGGAAAACCAAACAGTTGCTGGTCCACAGTGACTTACATAGTAATTTTGTGCTACTATCAAATCCAATGTGGAACAGCAACTGTTTGGTTACCTGTAGGGCTGTGACGGTGGCAGATTCTTACCACCGCGGTGGTAATGGACCAACTACCGCCGGTGGCGCGGTGTTGATATAAAAATAATTATATATATATATATATATATATATATATTAGTGGTGTCAAGATTAGCGCATTAACGCAGGCGATTATTTTTTCAGTTTAACGCGTTAAAAATATTATTTTTAATAAT